CTTGAAATATCAAAAGTTGAAAATTAATTAATTATGCAAATTAGGTAATTAATATGTACTGATATTACCCTAAAAACTATCAGGTCTGTACAATGTCCATGATATCTATGTACCAAGTTTAATTGAAATGTGATGATTAGTTTGATTGATTCATCATTATGCAAATTAGGTAATTAATATTGCACAGATTTTCACCCAAAACTAATCAAATCTGCGCATTAGTTAAGAGCATCTATGTGCCAAGTTTCATCAAAATCCAATGAGTGGTTCTTTAGATATCAGTGGAACAGTCATCGAACAGCTAAAAATCAGCTGATTATCATGCAAATTAGGTAATTAATATGTGTGGATTTTTACAAAAAAACCTAATCAAATCTGCGCATTGACCCAGAGCATCTATGCACCAAGTTTCATCAAAAATCAATGTATGGTTCTTGAGATATCAGTGGAACAGACACAGAGACACACAGACAGACACAATAACTGCAAAGACTCCCTTTTTTGCACACGGGAGTCAAAAATTACATTAAAATGTATACTGGAAATCTATGACATTTCTTGTTTTCTGTTCTTAATCATCACAATTACTACTGTAGTACTCAAATAAATGCAGAAAGCACCCCGAAAATCGCACCAATGGTGTGTGCACCCCAACAATCACACCAATGGTGTGTGCACATAAAGTGTTCCCACAGTTAGCATGAACCATAGCGATCTCATTTTCACTGACACATTAACTAATGGCAGGCTACAGAACATTGACCATGCTGCAAATTTTAAATGAATAAAATGACTTACCTCGTTATGCTCTGATCTATATTGATCTTGACATTGTTCAAAATCATTTTGTAACTGAGCCAGAGTTTCTTCATACCGACTCACTTCCTGTGCATGGTGCTTGCTCTGTTTGTCAGCCATGTCCAGGTTCATCTTAGCAACTTGCAACTGTCCGTTCTTCTCAGCAAGTTCTTCCTTAGTAGCTCTTAGCTTGTCTTGCAGGGCTTCAGCTTCACAGTGTAATTTGTTCAGTGAACTCTCTTTCTCATTCAGCTGAAATGAAAAACACATATTAGGTTTAGTACTTTTCTGCTCTGATTAGGTTTGCTCCTGCTATGTGTAGTACAGCATACTAACTTGTTAGGCATTCATTTAACAAGATGAAGAGGAAATAGTACCAACAAATGGTATCAACAAGATAAAACGAGTTAATCTGTGATTCAGACATTCTCTAAAAGTTACTGAGCATGTTGGTATGACAACCTGTACATCATCTCTACCCCATTGCCAATTTTCCTCTTATGTTATTTTGACAAGCAAATGACTTGTAAATTCACAAGAACTGAAAAACTTCATTCATTTTTCTAACATGAACAAGCATGTTGTTTGCAACTCACCTTATTAGTCTCATTTTTCAATTGTTTCTTATATCCATCCATTTGTTCATTCAAATCATCGAGCATTTTTTTATGGTGCTGCATTTGTTTATTCGCGTCTTGCTGTCTCATCTTCTCTTCTCTCAACTCCTCTTGTAACTCTCGCAGGATTCTGTCTTGTTGTGTTACCTAGGAGACAAGAGAAAAGTGTGTATATATGTCTTTATTATATATCTGTCACCGTAAAGCCATAAGTTACAGCGTATGATAATTAGGAAATGCGAAATCCAAATATGGAATAATTACGGGCGCAAGCATCTTCTAATAATAAAAACAAACATGGCTGCCATCAGGATTTGACCGGACTCAACACAAAGTAGTTTGTGGATTCTGTTCTAAACTTTTTGGAATTCAACATTCCCATGATGTTTCCTTGGAAGGAGATGTATAATAATAGGGTTATTTCGAGTATACCTCAAATTATGCACTCAGACAGTATGCCGTCACATCGACCTCCGCTGCATGTCAGTCGATACTCTCGCTGTACTGTCTTCATGCATACTTTGAGGTATCCTCGTAATAACATCATATTATCATTCTCATTCAATATCTTCACTAGAACCCACACTTGTATCAGAAGCTATGGATTGAACAAACGCTCATACTAGACCAATACAAAAGCTGTAGCTACATTTGCATAATGCATAATAGTATACAAATCGATGCAATTATAATGACCAGGTAATTGAGAGGCAACTAATGACCAACAAGCTGTGTACATACCTGTTCCTGGAGAAGTGACACCTGATCCTTAGCTGTGACATATTCCATCTCCATTTGATGTGCCAACTGTTGATGGTGAATTCCTTCTTTTATAATTCTCTCATTGTCTTCTCGGGATATGTTTAACTCTCGTCTTAGTCTATCATTCATTATCTTCTCTTCTTCCATCTCTTCTTCATTTTGTTTGTGTCGTTCTCCAAGAGTCTTCAGCTCAGCTTGCAGTCTACGGTTCAACTGTTCATGCTTCACTACCTCAGTGACTCTGTTACTAAGTTGTTCTTGAGTTGTCTGTAAACTGCTCTCCATCAGCATCAGCTTCTCTTCATAGTGAGCAAGCTGAAAACACAATTACACATTTTCTTATATAACAATAAACCTTAGATTCAAATGGCTGCCTAGATCTTGTTGAGAGCGAGGGAACCACAAGACTTGTTTTTGCCCCTCAAACAGTGTGCCATTCTCCTCTACCATCAAGTGGACTGTTCCAAATATCTTAGATATCTAAGTACTACTTGCATTAAATTAAAAATTAAAGATGCAATATGGGCATGCACATTTTCGTTGTTTGGTACTTTACATAGTTAAATAAATATATTGGACTATGATTTGTTACTATGGTAACTGAAAAGGTTATTCTTGTAGCACACATCTGAGTTCTGAATATTTGATGAATAATGAAATTAACACATATACATGGACTTGTTGTTTTGATACGTACAACAAAAATCACTGCACATGCGTATTAACGGCTTCAATTTTTCATCAAAAGAATCCTATTGTGTGTCTTGTAAATGCAACGATTTTAGTTTATGATAAATAGTATGGAATATGGAACAACAATACTAGTATTAAAAGATGAATTTTTATGTCCATATTGCATCTTTTCCAGTATTTTGAAATTTAGTCATAAACTGTTAACAGGTCGCTTACTATACAGCTCACATTGGTCTTTTCTTGTAGTACAATCATTTAAAAGATAAATAATTTTTTTTTGCAAAAAAAAGTGTTTAGTTTATATCAAATTTATTCAACCAAATACCTTACAACAAGTTAGGTCCCCCAACAAGTACAATATGTCTTACTTTTGACTCAGTTAAGTGGCCTCTTTTATAAAATATGTATTTTTGATGGAATTCTGGGATAAGCTTACCTCCTGTGCACAATCCCTGTATTGTTGTCTTGCTTCATTCAAGTCATGTTTCAGTTGTTTTATTTCTCCATGCAAATGTGCATTTTCATTACCAGCTTGTCGCTCTAATGCTTGTAGATGCTGAATTTGAATCTGGAGTTCACGGATTGCAGACTCCAATCGTTCAATCTGTAGGACAATAACACATCACTTTGTACCAGGCATTTGTACATAATATACATCTTCTATATACATTGTAATCATACAGACTTTTTTATGAATCCAATAAACCCAACAGAGTCATTATAAAAACAGATTGCTACTTCAAATTCACACTAATTACATGTTATTTCATCCAGCGACAAATAGGAGAAACTTACCTCATCTACTTTGCCTTTGTTATCTTCCCTAGCGATGGCCAAGTCAGTCTCACTTTTACTCAGCGTGTCATTTCTTCTATGCAAATCAGCTTCAAGATGTTTATTTCTGTTCTGTGAACTGCTCAGATCACCTTCCAATCGCTTTACATGCTCTTCAAGTTTGAATACCTACAACAACACAATATAAAGACATGTATGTGAGAAAGTAAGCACAAGATGATGAGAACTATAAATATCCAAACTCTGAAATGAACTGATTGACAATTGGTCAATTTATTACAAGTGCATGCATATATAATGTAAATCAAAACCAACAATTATGTAAGATATTAAATATGAATTTATCACCTGAAATTACTTGTTCATAAAGTTGGTTGATACAAGTAATGTCATTGGCTAATATTATCCATGAACCAAAAGTGAGTTGATAATGTAGCCAATGACACGATGTGTATCAACCAGCTGTTTGAATAAGTAATATCAGTAATAATCTTTATATCACATAACCAACTCCAAGTGTCAAAAAGACAGAGAAATTGTGATTTTAAACTAAACTTATGAATCATATGCTAATTAATCATTAATAATGCAAATTAGGTGTGTCAGGGAACACACACAATTGCAGTTACGGTCACTGATAGTTTTTTTGAAATCAGCAAAATTATTTTCAACATAAACTTTCAGTCGTCATTAACAAGCCAACGACCTGATAGGTCAAATCGCTAATTAACCAATCACAATGCTGGATTATGCCAACGTGTTCAAAGTACCATAGCTTATTTAAATATCTTAATGTTATTGAACGCAGCACGGATGAGATTTGCCGATGTTGTACAATCTTTTGGATTTGATTTTGATGGGAAAATGGCATGATTTTTTTTCAAAATATAGAACGTGTTAAAAGTACTTTGCGTTCCACTTTCTTTGAAAATGCCACCCATGCTAATGAGCATAATCATCAAGATGAAGCCTTACAACTCCAAGATGGTAATAACGTTACACAGTAAAAAGGCAGTCAACACCAACGTGCATGTTACACAATTTCACTTTTCTAGCCAGCGAAAATGAATTGTACAGTGTTTTTCTCACCTCTGTTTTATGCTTTTGATGTTGTGATGCCAGGTTGAGCTGCAATTGTTTCAATGTCTGTTCCAATCTCTGCACTTCCTTTGAGGCACTATTTCTCTGTTCTTTGATATTTTTTAAATCATCGTTCAGCTCGGACACCCTAGAGTGTAGATCGTTTGCTTCCTGTTCTTTTTGGTCTCTTTCATTTTGTAGATCTTTAAAGTCATTCTCTAGTTGCTTTATGAACTCATCACGGTCATTCACCTAGAAATTCAACAACAGATATTATGCTAAACAAACCATCAAATGGATGCATATACAGGGTAGATGTGACAGTAAAATTGAATGCCATATATGCTTTAACCATTAACAATTATTCTTTCCTAATAAAATATGCCGCAACATTTTGCACATTCTTATGTATTTTTCCACAATTTTTTCTACTAAATTTAGAAAAATAAATGATAAAAAAAAAAAAAAAAATGGGAAAATGACAAATGATTTAAACACAGTATGACAAAATATTGTAATCTCTGACCTCATCTACAGTATGCTGATGGTTGTCTTGATAAGAAATAAAATCAGCTTGTAAGTGTCTTCCTCTTTCTTCATGATGGATGGCCTGCAATTGAACAGTGTTGTGAGAAAGACACCAATCTTGGAATTACAGCAGTCTACTAGCTACAGGTCTCTCATTCATTTGTGATGACTTATTTACGCTAACAATAAATACTTGCAGCGTTGAGCCATATTATGCAGTTGTCACCAAACAGGCCCCCCGAAGTTGCCAGATTACTTGCCATCATTTGGATTTTCAGTCACTGTTATTGTAGGCTCAAATGTTGATAGCAATAAAGGTCTAATCTAATACAGGCTATTTGTAAACAATTGGGATAAGAAATTATGCAATGTTGTGACGCTTGCATTATTTGAAATGCTCTACATTGAATAAAAACTATAATAAAACTGGAATTTAACCTTCCAATGAATACAAGATTGCTAGCAGTAGCCAATGATAAATCAGTCTACATACCTCTTGTTGTTTTTCAAGTAATTTTCCTTTAAGATTGTCAATTACTTCTTCACAATGCGAGACTTTTTCTCTTGTAATCTGGAGATCTTCTTGAGTTTTATGAAAATCTTGAGTGAGTGAGTCAATAATCTCTTCACATCTCTGTATTTGACTCTGTCTTTCTTGTACTTGTTGGTCTAGAGTTGATATATCAGATTTGAACTGGTCTATATTCTCATCACGATCTTTAATCTGAAAACATAATACAATATCAAACATCGATGGGGTCCATTTATAACAATTTAAAACCTTAGTTATTCAAATAAAAAATACTGTAAAATATTTACCAAAACCCTACAATATTTACTAAAGTACAGTCTCATGATGAATAGTATACAAATCACGAAAATTGCACAACAAAACGACAAAACTAATTTAATTCATTAATATTAATGAGCAGATAATATTCATGGTAATATTATATTATTATTATTATTTATTTAAACACCAAATGTAATAGCAGGTATAACCCTTACCTTAGAGTTGCTTTCAGATAATCTTTCTTCTAAATTTGCAATAGTAGTGGAAGAACTAGATTCCAGTTTTCCAATCTGTGACACACTTTGACTATACCGATCTCTCAAGTTTTCAATATTTCTCTCCATGTCTTCAATCTGATACTTGGCTTGCTGTAACTCATTCTCTAACAACATGACTTTTTGTCTGGTCTCAGCTAACCCTTTGTCTTGATGGTCAATAATCTCATTTTTACGAGAAATCTGATGAGGAAAATGAGATAATATTGAGAGAAAAGTAGCTACAATTTGCATGCAAGTGAATAATGTTTGATATTTCACTTGGTGTTAATAGCATACAAAGCAGTCTTCTGTGACTAATATTTTGCAAATTTATAAGTATTATTATCGCATTGTTTTGATAATTTTTGGACAAAAGGACAAGTTTCTCACTGATACAGATCTTTTGTAAAATATGGAAAAATTTGTACAAAATTATTTTGTCTATGAATAATGGTAAAAAAGTAGACTTTAATGTATAGCATATAGGACATCTATGATGTAATCACTTGTGATATGAAAACAAATGATGTATAGCGTATAGGACATCTATGATGTAATCACTTGTGATATGAAAACAAATGATGTATAGCGTATAGGACATCTATGATTTAATCACTTGTGATATGAAAACAAATGATGTATAGCGTATAGGACATCTGTGATGTAATCACTTGTGATATGAAAACAAATGATGTATAGTGTATAGGACATCTATGAGGTAATCACTTGTGATATGAAAACAAATGATGTATAGCATATAGGGCATCTATGATGTAATCACTTGTGATATGAAAACAAATGATGTATAGTGTATAGGACATCTATGATGTAATCACTTGTGATATGAAAACATGATGTATAGCGTAAAGGACATCTATGATGTAATCACTTGTGATATGAAAACATGATGTATAGCGTATAGGACATCTATGATGTAATCACTTGTGATATGAAAACAAATGATGTATAGCGTATAGGACATCTATGATGTAATTACTTGTGATATGAAAACAAATGATGTATAGCGTATAGGACATCTATGATGTAATCACTTGTGATATGAAAACAAATGATGTATAGCGTATATGACATCTATGATGTAATCACTTGTGATATGAAAACAAATGATGTATAGCATATAGGACATCTATGATGTAATCACTTGTGATATGAAAACAAATGATGTATAGCGTATAGGACATCTATGATGTAATCACTTGTGATATGAAAACAAATGATGTATTTTGCTTTAAAATTGCATCTTAAATATACCATAGGTGCGAATAAATGTAACCAAAAATCAGAGTGTTTTAGAAGTATAACAATTCTATTTCTACAAACAACTTTGACAAGTTATGTGAAAAACATGATTCCCATAAAGCAAATATAACATTTTTAAATTTTCCATACCTCATTCATTGACTGCTTATTCGTATCTTGTTCTTTCTGTAAGTCAGCTGTTAACTGGTTGATATTGTCTTTAAACTGACTGTTCATAATATCAGAGTCGGTTAACCGAATGTTAGAATCGCTCACTTCTTCCTTGAGTTGGCGAATTTCCTCATTCTGGAGTTTAATCTCTTGTTGATACGTAGTACGTGTTGTTTGTACATCAGTCTTAAGATCTTCAATGCACCTTAAATGGCTTGATATCTATGAATCAAAACAACAACCAATCAATATGACCATCTGTTTTTATAAATAGTTTAAACAGTCCTGAATGGATAATTGATTACCCGGTAATGAATAAAATTCACCTCTACAGGGTGAACAATGCCCGCTGGGATTAGATACTATAGAATCAACAGCACCCTAAGGCATCATAGAACAGAGGCTGCAAAGAGCTGATAGAAGAAGATAGAACCTGATTAACTCTGTGAAGATCAGGGTCTACTTTGTCACAAAATAAAGAAACTGTTTTTATCTTTGCCAGATAGCACTGCATTTAAATGACAAGTGTTAACAATAGTGCATTTGTCACATAAACCAAACCACAAAGTAACACAGCTTAATGACAATGTAATACTCATAATGCTGGTATTAACTCTGGTATTAGCCTGAGTGATCCAGCCACCCAGTGTCAACCCAGCCTTGGCAATCCATAAGTGCCAACCAACCAATGTCAACCCAGTCTTGGTGCTCCAAGTACCAACCAAAATCAAACAAAGTTCCCCCAAAAGCAATTTGCATTGTCACAAATCAATGATTCCAGGCAGTTAAACACTGAGGGGAAACCTACCTCCTGATTTGATATCTGTTGCTCTCTTTCTAGCTGTTGTATTGTTTGGTCATCTGTGGCAATCTTAGAAATAAACATAAATCAAACAGTTATTGCAATGAACATGTTATGTTAAACACATCTTGTAATGAATAGTGTACAAGTTGGAAACCAAAAAAAAAAACCATAAAATAATAAAAATATATTAAAAAAAACAATCTGACCAAAAAGAGCAGTTAAGTCCAGAAGCTAGTATAAATCAAACTGTACACCTTACATCCCATAAAGTCACCAATATCACAAAATAAAATCAAGACAAACCTTCCTTTCCCTAATTTCCAGTAACTCTTTCAGATTTTTCATCTCTGATTGCAAATTTTTCAGTCGACTTTGAAGTCGTTTGACTTCATCATCCTGGATTGCAAGCTGGTTAGGGCAGAATACAATAACATATAAATAAATTGATTGGGATAATGTTTGAGATAAAACAGTGATTTGCATGCAAGTTTACAAGCTGATATTTCTCTTTATAAAAGCCAGGCAGCAAAACATGGACATCAATTATAAATGCAAAAAAAATACAGCAAATATAAAAATAAATAAGTAGTAACAAAAATATAAATATGATGATGTAATTGTGTGTTTTATGGTGCAAACATAAAATAGATTATAAATAATATTTGCATACATGTACAAATACATGCTCAAAGTATGGTTCATGTCACCCTCACATCTTTTTTGCTACCATTTCTGCACCACAATTAAAGTCATTTCATAGACCATTTTGATAAGTCTAGCACCCTCACAGTTTCCAATAGGAGAGGCCTTTCAGGTGAACTCAAAAAGAGGCTCCTGGGGGAAGATCCGTTATAGTTGCATGCACAACATACTGCTTATATTTTTATTTCACTACAGAGTTTGATTATGATGTCAGTTTAGAAAGGTACTTCTAATAATAAAAACAGCAATTTCCCAATCAAAACTACTCTAATAAACTGACATGATAATTGAATCAATCAAGAGAAATCAATGAATAGATTATAACAGGAATTGGAGTCAAAAGATTGAATATTTGTGACACATTGTTCTCACCTCTTCAATACTACCATTGTACTTCTGCTGTGCAGTGTCCAGTTCTGTCTGCAGTTTCAATATTTGCTGATCTCGATTACCGACCTCTTTTTGACATGTTCTGTGTTTTTCCTGAGTTATTGTCAATTCTAATTCTAACTGCTGAACTTGCTCAGCCAGTTTGAGGAGTTCCTCTGTATCTTTCTGTGTCTGTATATTCAGTCGCGAGTTGTCTTCTCGAAACCTCTCGATTTGTTCTTCTTGTCTGAGAACCTATCAGTGTAAATTACCATATGTAAAATAAGACATGCATGAAAACTATTAAACTTGTATCTCTTGGATGACGCCGAACAACCTAATGAATTACAATTAAACTCTGTTTTTGGGGTTATTAATGGTAACAATCCACTTCAATGTCTACCCACATAGTAAATGAAGAAATAAAACTATAAATAATTTGTTTTTGGTGAACGATGTTTTAATTTTAAATTTCTATTACACTTACATGTAAATTGTTACTAAGAAGATCTTGTTATGATAGCTAAAATACAATTATTTGTGAAAGTGGAAATTATAGGCAATCTCAACTACTTCAGATTAAAGAATAAGAATATTGTGCAGGTGTTTGTAAAGAATTCAGATTCTTACAATGTTCTTGTTTTCACAAGCTACACACTAGATGCATTCTATTGTCATTCTTTCTCCATGGTAGTCACTGTCATTTGTCCTGTCACTTACCTCATCATAACAGGCTGTGTACTGTGACTGTGACTCAGAAAGGTCTTCTTTTAATGCCCTGATGATACCTGCTTTTTCTGACAGCTGTGCAGACCAAACATATAAAAAATTCACATGTCAAAAGAAATGGGAGGGGAAACCACAAACAGGGTTCAGACACGCCACAATATGTTAACAGGGCAGTTCTAGATTGACCTTGGCATGTTAATGATTGTTCGACTCTAATGCAAAAGATCAGTGTCTTGGACAAAAAAATAGAAAACTGAATTGAAATGGAAGGAATGTGTGTAGAAAAGACACATTCTAAAAAACAGACACGCCCACAATTGCAGACCAATGGCAGATAAAAACAAGCCTATCCACAACATACATGTATATTCCATATAAAGTAAGGAATAGTAGAAAACTATGAAAGATCATTCAGGTAGCCTTATGGTGTATGTCACATACAGAGACAAATCTAAACACCAGCAACATTTGGTCATCACAGCAACAATGAGGGACAAACTAATATTTCATGATTGAAACAAATAATCTAAATTAACAGAAATACATACAAAAGCAATTTGACAATTTTGCAAAAATGACAAAAATAGGAAATTTGCGAGATTATGAAGAAAGTGCAACAATGTTAAAGAGCTGGGATAGAAAAAGCTGATAGCAGAAAAATAAATAAATAAACAACAACAACACTAAATTAAGTATAACTTGTTTTATTGACTAAAGAGGACATAATACTGATAGCAAAAAAATAACAGAAATGTACATACAGAAATATATCCCACAACAAAACAATAAGTAACTAATAGGAACTCTCTTCAAATAATAAATTGATTCTTCACAGTTCAAGTCTACACATTTTCTGGATAACTTTGTATACAAACAGTATTATATTAGTTAGATCACATGATGTATGGTAACTTCCTGTAGTAAGCATGTCATACTCAAATGCTACCAATCCACCTTGGTGTGTCTTCTCAGTGATGAGAAATAACTTTTAATTCCATCTTTCACATTTGTGTTCTCGTTAATTCCAGCAACATATCTAAATGTACACCCATCAAAACACACACTGATAATTCAACCATTCAAAAATTATACTGAAATTTTTAACAAAATACAATAATTTTTTATTTTCCAGCATGCTTTGCTTATATATTACAAATTATAATTAGACCCTAAATAAGACAACGACTGTACAAACCACAGCTGAGGTGTCTCTCATTGTACATTTCTAATTGTGAAGTAAGAATTGTGAGATGATAGCAGTGTTGACACACTATAATAGTAACCACACATTTCAAATAAGGTGAACATTTCTTTTCCTGATCATGATAAATAAAGGGCAGTCATTTACTTTTAAATTATACCCAGTTTAATCTCAAAAACCTTGCGACAAAATTTCTACATGCAAAAATAAACACCCTTAAATTCAGTTTAAATATATTGCACATTTTTTCAAATATATTTCATAATAATAATGTAAATATTACAATATAATGTTAATGATATACAAATATATGTCAATATTTGTTTTTAAAAAAGTGATATGTTACTCATACTGATCTCCTATCATTTTGAGCACACCAGTTGCCAAGACAACTTTACATCTCAAACCCACCATATCAACAAGCTATTTCGTTTTGAATTTCAAATTTATAAAAAGATGAAAGATACAGACAAGAAGTCCAAAGGAAATGCAGCAATAAATAAAGTGAATAAAAAGAAATAGAATTAGTAAACGACAGAGCAAACAGAAAAAGCAACCAAACATGCAGATGTAGAGGGCGCTATTATCCAATAAGTAACTGTAGAGGGAGCTGTCATCCAACATGCAACTGTCGGGGGCGCTGTTATTCAACATGCATGGCCAAAACACAGAAGGATCAATCAAAACACCACAGGACATGTACATGATAAACCCATTGAAACACAACAACCACCTCAAATGAACAAAACCAATATAACATGCAGAGTATGGAGCAACCTTTATATTCAGTGAGACTGGTAGACATGCCAAGGGAACAATGGGTAGAAACCGATCCAAGGAAGATAATAAACTGACAAGGGATACACAAAATCACTAAAACACCATGATAATACCAAAATGGATTTCAATTTCCGTGATCTGGAATGTATTCATGAACACATCTTAAATCATGGGAATTGTTGAGTTTAGTTTTAAAACAGACATGACATCATAGATGACATCATAGTACAATCCTTGCTATAAATCACTGAAGTTAGAATGCAATGGCGATAATTTAGTTATTCTACTATTAACAGAAACTAAAAAACTCACTTCCTCTTGGCTTCGTTGACGGACTTCTTCCAAATCGACCTGTGTTCGGGTCAAAGAATCCTCTAATCTCCGGAGCATGTCAGTCTGCTTCTGAACCTACAAAAACAATAACTCATATAAAAACCTGAAATCTTGCAAATACAAATCAACTCTCCTTGTAATATAACATCAAAAAAAATATTGCCAAACTGATTAGACTGGTTAACAAATCAAATTACCTCACTTGTCTTCTCATGGTGCTTTGTTTTCAATTTACTTGTTTCTGTACTTAGTTTATGGATCATATCATCCCTCTGTTGAAGCTGGAATGAAAATCAAAGAAAGCTTAGAAAGAACTCCCATGTGCTGAGAGTATTGGAGACACATTAAATATAATTTGAAATTGCTTCGCTGAAAACTAATTATGCAAATCAGAAAATTAACATGAACAGATTTGATTGTAAAACTAATGAAGTCTGCGCAATGTAACAAAAACT